CAGACTAGATTGAGGGATTTTCTTTCTTTTCACACAAACCCTAGCGTCTTCTTTCTTTCTCTGTGAACAGGGTGTCCTGTTCCTAGACCTGAGCTGATCTACCAGCTGGAGCACGGGCAGGAGCTGTGGATGCTGAAGGGACACCTGTCTCAGAGCGCCTATGCAGGTACGAGCCAAGGTGCGGGCAGGTGGGGGACCCTGCAGGCTCGAGACCAGCAGGAGACCGCTGGCCCTGGTTCCCTGGGGAAGCTTCTTATTCTGGCTTCTCTGCTGCTTTGGAAGCCATGGAGCCCTTTGACCCGAAGTCAGCATTCTTGCCAAGGGGCCCAGAAGGTCGCTGACTCCTCCCACCTCCCAAGTTTCAGGGAATGGTCCTGCCACCCAAGCAGGTTAGAGACTGGAGACAGCCTCTGAGAGTTCCTCACACCCCCAGCTCCCTCCGGCCCCACTTCCGGCCGTGCCCCAGTCCCGTGCATTTCACATCTCCTCCGTCTCCCGAATCCATCACTCGCACCGCCTCCCTCAGACCGGTCCCCAGGCTCAGTGCACGCTCCCGTCGTCTTTTCTCCGGGGTTTGCTGCTAGCCTCGTAACCGGCCTCTGCGTCTGCTGGACCTCTGGTCAGCTCTGTGTCCTGCACGAGTTACCTCAGGGGCTCGGACTCGCTTCCGGGGCTTCCCACTGCCCCAGCCATGATGTCTCAGCGGGTGTTGGCGGTGAAAGTCAGGTCCGCCTCCTCCGTTGCTTGATCCTCGACCCTACCGCACTCGTTCAGGCTCCGGGGTCTGCAGCTTCCCCTGCCATCGAGTGGGAGAGGTCTTGCCCTTGGCCCTGGCCAGTTCTGAGCCAGAGTCTAGAGCACACCTTTGCAGGAAACTGTTTTCTTCATTCATATTCTGCTTGTTGTGTAATGTGACTTCACTTTTTCTCGACTCACCATACAAATGGGCTCAAAGCCTCACAGTCGAAGAAAAGCAGTAAGAAAGTTCCTGTCTCTTGGCGTGTTCACCCACTCTGCGCTCAGTGACTCACG